TAGGACATGTGTGTTTATTTGTTCAACTTTATACAAGTTTAAGTGTCTACTTGTGCACACCCAAAGTTGAAAGACATAAACGTAATCAGAAGTCAAGTTAAAGGGCATATCTCAAGGTAATAACTTGTTCCCAACTATATGGGTGATGTTGCAACTAGACAAAATATATGGATAGAATTTAATTATTAAAAAAACTATATGGATAATGTTGCAACTAAACAAAACATGTGGGTACGTAGAATTTAATTACTAAAAACTATATGTGTGATGATGCAATTAGACAAAACAAATGGGTATAATTTAATTATTAAAAACTATATGAGTGATGCAACTAGACAAAAAGTAGAGCGTTCAAGAACAAGAATGGAAACAAAATACAAGAAAGTCGTGTAAACCTCTCCAACTCTCTTTCCAAAACCTTGTTAACTCAGTGAGTAAAATTGATTGTGATTAAGGATGAAGGCTGTTGTAATCACAAGCCCTGGTGGTCCAGAAGTGTTGAAGCTTCAAGAAGTGGAAGACCCACAAATTAAAGATGATGAAATCTTGATTAAGATAGCAGCTACTGCCCTTAATAGAGCTGATACCCTTCAACGCCAAGGTAAATACCCACCCCCTAAAGGCGACAGTGAATACCCAGGTCTTGAATGTTCTGGAACTGTTGAAGCAGTCGGCAAGGAAGTTACTCGCTGGAAAATTGGTGATCAGGTTTGTCTGATTACAGTTTCCATTTTTTTAAAAAAAGATGTCAACTTTATAATTGAAATTGAGGCTTAATTGTTGATTGTTGTTTATTCTCTTCATGTTGGGTAATATGACAGTGAGGAAGTTATCTGAAAATGCACAAATCGTTGAATTTATGGGACTAGGCTAAGAACAGACAGGGAACAAAGGAATAAGATATCTGAAAATGTCTAATCTTTGGAATCTTACTAGCTCCATTTCAATTTATTTTGTGTGTGTGTTTTTTCACTTGGCATCAAGTTTAAGAAAGTAAAGAGATACTTTTAATTTTAATTTTGAGGTTTTAAACTAAAATAGGTAGAGTGAACTAAAGTGTCTTTGGAAAAAAAAAAACCAAAGTGTCGTTTAATCTTGTTGTCTTAAACAAGCCTTCTAAAAAGTTAGAACTAAGAGTTGCCAAAAGGGAAAAAAGACATTCTTTTTGAAACGGACTAAAAATGTAATTAAGATAAACAAATTGAAACAGATGGAGTGTTTTTGTTGGAGTTTTCTATGTCAGGCCTAGGAATAGGTAGGAATCAGAGAACCATTAACGAGTAATGGAATAAAATGAGCCCCAATAGAGAAGAACGGATAAAGGATTCATATGGCTTGACTCCACCTGGTTTGAGTTTTTGGGGTAGTTAACTCGTTATGTTGTTGTGTATGGAGTAAGATATTTCCATTTCATTTTGTGGTGCTTCGTTTGACATAAATTTGGTAGAATTTAATAGTGGTGGAAGTGGTGATAATTAAGTACAAGGAGGGGAACAATGTCTATATCTTGATAAGTAAAGATTAAGGGCTTTGGAGTCGGAGTAGAGTGCAAGATGACCTCTGCACATCAGGGACAAAAGGCTTCTTGTTTCAAGATGAAAGAATTTCCTTGAGTAGTAACCTGAATGATTCTGGATAGCCCTTGTTAGTTAGGGTAGCAGTTATCCATTAACTTCCTGAAGTGAAACTAGTACTGTTTTAAGTTCCTGTAAAGCCTTAGCAGGAGACAACAGTGATGTTTTTCTGATCTTTATGTTCTTTTTCTTTGTTGGTTGGGAGTTCACATTTCTATGTATTGTTTGAAAGGGAGTTTTGTTTAGTGCATTGATGATGTAAAAGCTTCACATAATAGGTATGTGCTCTCATTGGTGGAGGTGGTTATGCGGAGAAAGTAGCTGTACCTACTGGACAAGTTCTTCCTATTCCATCAGGTGTGTCTTTACAAGATGCGGCTAGCTTTCCTGAAGTGGTGTGCACTGTTTGGTCGACCATTTTCATGACGAGCAAGCTTTCCTCTGGTGAAACGTTTCTGGTGATTAGACAGACCATAGCTATTCTTTAAAACAATTTGTTGTTTAGCAGTAGTTCCTTTTCTTTTATCTGTGCAGATTATCAGCCATTTAGTCAATTGGCAGAATCTTTTGGGTAGTATGTTCACAATTGAATCTTTATATCCCTGATTCCGGTCGACTAAGATCAAGTACGTGAAATAACTAATAGCTACATGTGTTACTTTCAGATACATGGAGGCTCTAGTGGAATTGGTACGTTTGCCATTCAAATGGCTAAGTGCCTTGGAGTCAAAGTTTTCATCACAGCAGGTTCATGATGATTTCTTATCTTATTATGGAACTGAAATCATTCAGCTAACCATGTCAAATCTTGTTAACCAGGAAGTGAGGAAAAACTTTCCGCATGCAAAGAACTCGGGGCTGATGTTTGCATCAATTACAAGACTGAAGACTTTGTTACACGCATCAAGGAAGAAACAGGAGGGAAAGGTAATCATTCTCATAGGCATCATTTATTATATTAGAAACTAGGTCTTCTTGATAAACAAACTACAACTACGCCTCAGTTCCAAATAAGTTGGAAACTTGGTCTTTGTGATATCAATTAAAATTCGAATATGCATGTTTCTGGAGAAATTATGATGGTTATCATATATCTCTGGGGGCTACAGGGGCAAGCAGTCAATTTCTTTTCATGTCTTACATTGATGATATTCTAACTTCAATGTTCAAAACAGGTGTTGATGTCATACTAGATAATATAGGAGGTTCATACTTCCAACGGAACCTTGACAGCCTCAATGTTGATGGTAGGCTCTTCATTATTGGTTTTATGGGAGGAACAGTGACACAAGTAAATCTTGGCTGTTTGTTAGCAAGACGCCTTACAGTGCAGGGTAAGTGCAGATGTGCTCTGATATATTTTGAGTGAACTTTTCTGTGAAATGTATTCTTAAACTTGATATGGTGAACTTGTCTGACCAAATACTCGAACAAGAATGCTGTTAGTCAACTGGAAGAGAGATATCTTAAGACACGCTACTGTAATTCCAGTTTTCTTTCTATTCCCACCCCACTCTGACTAGCTCAATGAGTGGGGCAGAGAATGTATTCATATAGTTGCACATGCCAATAGATGACTTCTAAGGTCTAGTGTTCAGTTGGGCTTAGTGTGTAGATTCAGTTGGTTCATTCCATGGGGAAGCAACGGTTATCAATTGCAGCTGCAAAGCAATCTTAATTTACCCTGGCCTTAATATTCTCTGACTTCTCTTTATGCTGCACCTTATTTGTACATGCAATTGCTTCTACTTCAACGGAGCTTAAATAAAAGAAGTTTCTCTCTCTCTCTCTCTCTCATGTGTGTGTGTGTATCCAGGTCCTAGTGTTCTCCACTTCGCAAATGAACTGTCTTGAGTCTCGGTGTTCATTTGCCTCGTTGATATCCCTTATTTTGACAGAGTGAGAAGCTTACTTTTGTGACACGTTGAAACCATGTTTTTGTATCTTTCTTCCATTTTTATAAGGCTCTATAACATATCCTAATCATGCTCCTTTATTTTTGTCCTCTTTACTTTTCCTCACTTCACTTCTACTGCTGTTCCTCCGTAGCTTTATTTCCTTGCAGTAATCAGCCCCAATATCTCATAACAGTCCTGGCTTCCAACCACCAACCATGGTTTATAATAAACTGGTGACTTCTAAGTGCACTGACATACTTAAATTTATTTCAGGAAGGGAAAGATAAGATAGTGTAACAGAAGCAAAGGCAACACAGGCTTCCACTGATATTGCTGGCTTTTTTTATTAGATGGTATAGGTCTCAATTTAATATCAGGAGAACTGAAATATTACGATTCATTTCACATATATTTACCTTCTCAAAGAAAAAAGAAAAAAAAAGAGAAGGTGATTCAGCTTTCATGTGAAGTTGAGCTATATATCGTCTTTGCAATCCTCATTTAGTAATTCTTCGTCAACTTGGTCAAATCTCGGCCTCTTCCTCCGGTGTACTTGTTATGGTTAGTTTGAGTATTGAAATTTGGAAATTATTAGTCCAGCTCTCCCATTCTCGCATAATCCTATACAACGTATCTTTTTCCTCCCATGTTCTAGCTGATCCTTCTCTTAGTTGAAGAACTTTGAGGGAGTTCTTTTTTTATAATGAAGTGCACAGACAATTGGAGAGAGAAAAATCTTTTGGAATGTTGAAATCTAGTCTCATGGATTTTTTTCTCTGAATGAATGCCATGGTCCTCATTTTTTATTGTGTTTCAGTAGTTTTTATGTCGATTTGTGACTTTTCTACAGCTGCTGGCTTGCGTAGTAGAAGCCCAAAAAACAAAGCTCAAATTGTGAGAGAAGTGGAAAAAAATGTTTGGCCTGCAATTGCAGCAGGGAAGGTGAAACCGGTGGTGTACAAGTACTTCCCCTTAGCAGAAGCTGCTGAGGCTCACCAGTTAATGGAAAGCAGCAACCACATTGGAAAGATTCTGCTCACTGTTTGAATGTTGTAAAAGAGAGATTTTCTTGTTCTTAGTGTTAAAATAGCCTGTACTTACAGCCAGTCCCTCCCCCCCCCCCCCCTCCAAACATCTGCTGCATGTACACTTTGCAATGTTTCCAATAAAGCAAAACCTTTTTTATGATTTCTCACTTTCCATCTTCTGAGTGCTTTAAGTTTTCGACGATTTTTCGATGTATATGTTTGAAATTGAAAGTATTTTTTAGAAACAAATTTGAACTACGAATCTTTATCCCTACAATATTTTCATGTTTTTTTTTTCTTCAAATAATATCCACTTGACATAACTTTAATTGTGCATTAACATTTGATAATGTAAATCAATACTCTAATCTTTAACTTTATTTTTTGTTGTTATTATTTATTAAAAGAAACTATAGATCGACGTGATATTGCAACTAGACTGGAGAATGAATTTGCATGTCATTCCAGTAATAGAACAAAAGCCATGAACACAACAGAGCTGAAAAAAGAGCAAAGGTTGACTTATAAACTCTTTTGTATCATCAAGATTAGGGCTGTACCGAAGTAAAGCTGGCTCTGGCTAAAACAAAGACCAGTACATTTGATTGCTAGAAGCAGAAAATTTGACAAAGAAGGTTACCACGCTAAGCTAATGACTACACCAACCATAGAATTTGATGATTCAAACACTGCAAAAAGCTTCAACAGCCAGACTTTTTTGTACTCCAGGACATGGGTCACCAAGTTTAGCCATGGTGATAGGAATGGAACATCCTGACTTGCCCACACACCCCTGCGTAGTCGTTCAAGATTTTCAGTTCCAAACATACGATAAAATGGACTTTGGCTTAACTCAAATCCAAAAGCTAGCTTGTGAAGGAAACAAGAATCGATAGGTCTGGCTGAGATACCATGCGAAGTAAATTGAACATTAAGTTTAACTCAATCCCAAAATCTAGCTCATGGGATGAGGATTGTCTGGGTCAAAACAAGGAGATCAAATTTCATTCCCTCAACCAATGTGGGATCTGATAATTCTTTGATAGTTCAAGCCTTGATGAACAACACTTTGAGTAGTATATGGGGATTTTCCAAAGTTATCACCAATATAAGTAGAAACAAATGAAGAAATGCTAATAATATTACCTGATGAACTATGGATAACACATCCCAATGGCAACTCCCTTCAATGAATGCTCCACAATCTCCTGTAGGAGTTCCAAAGCTAGCAAAGTTAACTGCGGTGATAGTCCATCCTTGCTCACAATTCAGTTGCAATGAAGGTTCTTGAGATGTTTGATCTTTGTCTGTCTTCCAAGTATCAACAGGTGGAGGATCTAACTCAGATACATGAGCACAAATTGTTTGCCCAGATCGCGTTGAGAAAGATATTTTTGAAGGGTCACCACCAAGCTCTTCATGCAGCACAAGCAAGTTCTTTTCTGGCTTTAACCAACTGCGTGGTACATGGTACCTATATGAAGGTTTAATGGTCAGTACTCGGTGAAATCTATTTGCAAGGAGGATCAGGAAAACGCAAAGCATCAAGAATAAAATACACTAGCCAAAGCTATATACTCACAACACTTGAGCAGGTTGACCACATTTCTTCAAACATTTCCATGAATCATAAGCTCCTCTGTAGTCACAATTATCAGAACAGCCTGTTGAGGGTGAACGATAAGAAGACCAGTATCTCCCTATATGCTGCCCATTTACCCATGCCTGACCTTTACCCATACTTGACAGATTTAGCGATATAGGGCCTCTTCCTTCTGGAGGAGAAAAACTTGTCTGGAAATAAGATATCCAGAATCAAGAGAAGAATACAACAGATGCAACAAATTATCTTAGCACCAGCATTGACATTAACTGCCACTCTATTCCTAGAAAGGTATTTTTTTCTTTTGTTGTCGGAAGAAAGGTACCTAAATGATAAGCAGTTGACATAAAACAAGTGAACCAAGCAATTCTACACACCTTGTACCATATCAAACTCTGATGTACTGGGACAGAACTCCCCTGAATCCACAGAGAACTATTTGCAAGACTAACTTTATCAAGTCCAAGATACTCACCTTCAAGACCTACCTGAAGTAAGACAAGTTTCATATTATCCTTGTGATCTTACAAGAACAAAGCCATAACCTTCTGAGATTACAGAGACGAAAATGAATCAACCCCTCACCCCCAAGAGAATTCGGAAAAAGAAAAGGAAGTCTTCAAATTTATACCAATAGTTATGCTGCTTCATTATTCCTTTACACAAAGTCCTCTAATGTTCTTGTTAGAAGATACTGTCACACATCTTTATATTTTCACTGACTTGTTACTTCCTTTGTCCCTTTTCATATTACCTAGTTTGCTTCAAGTACTCTTAGAGTTTCTTTTTGGCATTTGATTTACTTGTACTGTTAACTTTATAGTTAGGAATGTGAAATCATATTTAAACAAGAACATGAAGACCGCACGAAATGGACATAATAAAAAGGATTTGTTTGTCACATCAAGAACCTGGTAGATCCATTCTGTAGAAGAAAAATTCTTGGAATTCTTCAAATCACTGAAGATAACAGAAAATACACCTGCTCCAGAGATGTCAAACCATGGTCCATAGTTCTGGAGAATCACATGAAAAATGAGTAAGAATTAATGTAATTGAAGTGGAAGCAATGACTTCAATAATATGTGCTTCAATAGGCAAAGCATTGGAATAGGCTATTTACTGAGATGGACTTACCTGCAAACCAACCATCATGCTCAATATGTCCACTGTGTTGTTTCCTTGCTTAAGATGGATTTTCTTACTTAGCACAAAGCTTGCATCATCATGATTACCATAGCCAAATCCTAAAGAAGGCTCCAAATCAGCTATCTTAGCAATTCTCTGTAGTCTTAAGTAATGTTCAAGGTAAAAACTGAAGCATATTAGTCTTCTTCTTGGATCCGTTGAGTTGTGTGAACCGCCTCATCAAAAAACTTAACCGATCAGAAAAACTATACTTTTACTTTGTTGTTATGATCAAATTGGAGTTCCTATCTAAGTTATTAAACACGGTTAAAGAAGACGAGATTAGATGAGCTAGTTACCAACTGGTTTCTTGTTTACAAAAACAAGAGCTGCATGTCCTAAGCTTCCAACCATTAACTGCAATTCTTTGGCTTTCCTCTTCTTGATGTTCTCCTCCACATTTATACTGGCAAGAGAAAGAAAAAGAGATATTACATCAATGAAGTAAATAGCTTATCATATTGAACAAATGATTAAACCAGAGAACCAAGGTGGGGTATGCCCTTTAGTTTCTCATGGAAGCAAAATATTAGCAGCTACAGATCAGCTTCTTCCGTAAAGAAATGTAACATAACAATGACAAGTGAAGGAAAATGGATTTACCTTGTTGTATACCAAAGGAAATCACTGGTATCCTTTGTTGTATTTATCTGCTCTAGTAAGCGCGGTGATGCAAACGAATGATTATTCGCGATGCCAACTTTTTCTTGGTACCAGCCCCAAGGATCTGACTCCAGCGAATTTTCAATAGTAACCGTGTTGTGAGTAAATGCTGTACTTCCTGTCGTTTTTTGTGAAACAACCTTTATTCATTATGAGTAAAGGCAAAAAAGTCTGTTAGATTAGCAGTAACAAAAATTGAGGCAAAATAGACTTCTGTAAAGTTTCTTAAAAATGAGTTACACTTTCACAGTTTTAATGTTATAAGCAAGGTGATCAGGATATTTATTCTATGCATTTCTAGTAAATGAGTAGGAAGAATTGATGTACTTATGTGACTGCAGTCAGTACCTTCGCCGTGTTGAATATGACATTCTTACAGTCTGGAAGGATGCTAACAGACCAAGCATGAAGAAAATATGACTTCCCATTAAATGTAACATTTGCATCTGAACTGTTACCATAGTTAGCAAGGAAGGCTGCACAGTCATTGGAGCTCTTGTAATATACATGTGCCTGTTAGACATTTCTGATGTGTCAAAATCAAAAGAACACGAGACATTGATCCAACATTAAAGAATATAGTTACTCACAGGCTGACAAAAAAGCTAATTCAGATGAGGAAAAATAAGATATCTAGCATGCAGGAGGTGTACAACCCCATATAGATTAAGGGTACGAGCTGAAGTTTTCTTATATGAACTTAGACAATCCTCACCTTTTAGTTAGCTTCTTGTACACTTTCTTTACGGTTTTTTTAGATTCAAACTTGTGTGTTATCTACCTCTAATCTATTAAACAGCTGAAATCTGGATCGAAGACATCTCACTATGTGTCATTTACCTCAAGTTTCAGACCAAGGGACAAATGAATTGGATCTGCATTGACCAAATATTCTTCACAGTGTTTTATAGCCTTGTGTAAATCGCGTAGGTGGCCCCACTTTGGCTGACTTATGAAACCTGTATCAAGTACGTATGATTAGATTAGAATAGCATTCAAAAAGCAGCTTCAGGATATTCTTAAATAGATCAAATGCTTCCTCTTATATTTAAGATATCATTACCATACTCATCTATGGGGGCATCATAGTCGTAGCTTGTTGCTACTAGAGGACCTCCAGCTGTTCGACCAAAATTGGTGCCACCAAAATACTAAACAAAATAGATGGCATTACTTATCCCAGAACTAACAAGATCAAGAACAACATGTGAATAGTAACACGTATTTACCATGTAATAATTTTGAAATGTACCACCAGTTTCAAAAAAACGTGCTACAGCAAAAGCCAAGTCTTCAACAGGTCGAAAAGGAACAGGATAACCAAATGCAAGGAACCTGCAAAACAAAACAACACCTTGCAAGTGATGAAGGAAAAAAACATGTCATGAGTCAGAGCTCCCGATGATAATAAAAGAGGAAGAAGATTTACCATCCAACGTAGTTTTCTGTCCACATCTTTGGCTTGGACAGGGAATTTGGAGTGAAGCGATCACAATAGAATCCATTACATGTGTTTATCTGCATAATCAACAGGTTTGCAGTTATCACTTCACTAATTTTGGAGTCCTTTCACTGTTGATTTTGAGAAGCAAAACTATCAATGGTAACATCAGCAGGAAGTTTAGTGCAAAAGGGTCTTGAGATGACTGCATTTTGTAACATACTAACAAAAATGCTTCTGATATACTGCAAATGAATACCATAACCCCCTTACAACTGAATCAGGTGCATCTTCTTGTGCACACATCACCCAAGGGACGGTCGTATTAAGATTAACAGCAGTTTCTGCAGCCCATTTTACATATAGCTCTCCGCTGACTCCATATGCCCATTCAACATTTCCATACTCATTTTCTACCTGTTAAGAGGATAGATCACTGATTAACACAAAAAATGCAACAACTAAAATTGAAAAGAAGAAGGTGCACTATCAAGTAATAAGAGTGTAGATTCAAGGAAGAAGATTTAAACTACCACAAAGACATCCATCATCACAAAGATGAAAGAAACAACCTGAGCGAGTATGATTGGACCTCCTTGTGTAGCGAAGAGGTTCTCATCCTTCATAAGATCAACAATCTTGGCAAGAAAGAGTTTCATTTCATTCTGCATTGAAAACAATACAGGTTTCTTCAACTATTGAACATTTAATAGGACCAAAAAATAGAAGAAAAAAAAAACACAGACTGGTCAACACTTTCCTTAAAAAGTTCATTTGTTGTTCGAAACTTTATTCCAGGGATAAAGTGTAGCCACATAGGGAAGCCCCTGCTCAGAGAACAGGACGGAGATAGTAAAACGAAAAGTTAAGACCCCATTAGGATGTACATGATAAAATAAGAAAATGAGTTAGCTATGATGAACTAACCCATAGTTCCATTCAGCACAGGCATATGGACCTATACGGAGATGCACGTATAGGCCAGCTTCTTGTACTGTCTTCACAAACCGTACAAGGTCAAACCTGCCTTCAAAGTAGTACTGCAAGAGTAGGAAGTGATAATTAAAATTGACACTGCTCTAATTGCATTGCCCAAAAATGAGGTAAAACAACTTCCTATGGGCTAAATTGACAGATAAAAATTCCAACTAGTGAGCATCGCAAGGGGGGAGACCAATCAAACTCGCGTAAAAACACAAACTTGAAATGACTTCATACCTCTCCTTTGACAGGTTCATGATAATTCCAGAAAACATAACTCTCTATCACGTCCAATCCGCCTTCCTTAGCCTTTCTAATGATCTCTGGCCATATCTACATTCAACAAGAGATCGAACCCCTTTATAATCCATGTTACATATTCTCAAACTGAAAATCAAGAAGAAAAGAGAAAACCCCACATTGCCATACATAAGAAGAAAACACTCACTTCAGGTGTAGTTCTTGGATAATGTATTGATCCTGATTGCAAAATTCTCCTCTTTCCATCAATAACCAATGCCTTGTGATCATAAGTTACTGTCGTCGACGCCCCTTTTTCAAAAACTAAAAGCATAGACAATATTATTACCAACAACAATTTCTTACTTTCCATAGTTCAGCTAGATGGTCACATAAACAAGAATAGAGCAGTGACTTTATAACATCCAGTAATACTTTTGGACCAATAATTGTTGTAAGGATGATTTTTGTCCTTAGTATGTGTTGTTACTGAAAAAAGGCGAATCTTTCTTAGTTTTCTCCCCATAATTTTTTGTACTATAAGTTTGGAGTCATTGAGGTGATGATGGCTATGTATTACCAAGATTGTATTCAAGTGATGTCTCTAGCACTGATTAAAATTTCAAGAGCTATAGCCTACAAAATATGAAACAAATAGAAATGTCAAAATTCAAGAAGCTAATAAATATGAGGTAGATAATCTTGTTACTTACCTTTTACTTAGTTGTTATTCTTTTTATTGGATTCTTCTTTGTTATCTCAATTTGTTGTATTTGAGCGGATGATTTTTTGAAAATAGTTATTCTACCTTCACAATTACGAAGTAAAAGATTGCTACCTTGTTGGTTGAGAATAGAGCTTTCAATATGGGTTGACCCACTTCATTCGGGTTAATCCATACAGATTTTGAAATTTGACAAGTCAGACGGGGCTTCGCCCTTTTTTTTGTGTGGGCTAAAAATTAATCGGTCCAATCCATAAGTTAACGGGATACAAGCTTTGCCGGGCCAAATCTCTTTTTATTAAAAATACACTTTTAAATTTTTTTAAATTAAGTTATAATTTAAAAATATTATCATAGATATCGATAGGACAATATTACACGTTGTTAGTGTTACTACTTGTTAATCAAATACACAAATAAAATTATCATTATAATATTTATTAAGTTTGATTTCAAGTAAACATATAAATCGCTAAATAGAAATATTAACCTAAATGTTTTCCAATAATCATAATCATATATAATTATAAGCATGAAGGTCAAAACTTAAAAGTTGAATTACCATTTTAGCCTTATACTAAATTAAAATATTATAAAATAATTAATTAATTAAATATTAAATATGCTTAAATTGTTAATTAAGTTGATTCACTTATTGTTAAAATAATGTAGGAGAATGAATAGTTGTTAAAATAATTAATTATAAAGTTATTACGAAAACGTATTAGAGAAACTTTTCATTTCTCTATCTGATCAGTTTTAGGTGTAATTTTGTCATAATGTGTATTAATATCACACCTTCACTATCTCATCATTAATATTCACACCTTCATAATCTTTCCACACTCTCAAGAAGTTGATGGCACTTCTTGGATCACTTAATTTGTAATGTTTTTATCTTCTTTTAGCAGATTCTCCATTTTCCTATATTATATATTATACTTTCTCATGTAATCATGTTATCTTTATTTTTTTTTATATGAGTTTGTTATGCTCATGTTTTATTTATCTTTATTTGAACTCATCTAAATTGTTGAATATTTCAACTACTAATAAATTTTTTAAATTTGACTTTTTTTTATGAAGATACAATTAAGAAATAACGCTAATATTTCATAGTGATGATGCAGTAAGTGAAGCAACACAGATTGAACTGTTTCAAGTGGTATCAATTTTCAGGTAATAAATCATTGTTCCTTATATGCAATTAATTATTTTTGTGTAAGTTGATATGTTCTTAATAAAATTTTGGTTTGATTTTTAATAAAAATTATTTTATAGAAGTTGAGACGGTACACTTAATTGGATTATCCAAAAAAGGAATCTTTTACACAAGGACAAGAAGAAAGACTTCTAGCTTTATCACTGCATTCATAACAATCAATGGAATATCCTACAACACAAAAAGTTGATGTGATTCTGTACAAGTGAATCCAACTCACTAACAAAAAAATTAAAGAAAGAAAAAAATGAACATGAAGAGAATAAAAATGAAGATAAAGAGAATCAATGGTGTCTTATAAGTTGATGAACCACTGTAACTTCATTATTTTTTGAATTTACGAGGAAATGAATTATTGAAGAAATTTGTGAAATGTACATATATACCTTTGGGTCGGTAACAAATGTGATTGAAAGTAGTATTTTTTCATGCATAATAGCTAATTCTTGATATATATATTGTTTAAATTTATTATTTGCACTACAAACATTGTATGAAGTATTTTAGGATAAACGTGCAACGCACGTTTTCTGAAACTAGTAAAATAAAAAAAATATGACAATCTTTCATAGTTATGACCTATTTAGTGACTTAGGAAAAAAAATTATTTTATGTAGTACTTATTTTATAAACATAATTTGTATTTAAATTGTAATATTTCAAACTTTAAACAAATTTTGAGTTTAATTTTGTTATTTTTAATATTCTATGTTATTTTTATTTTTTAGTTAACTTTTATTCGATCTACGGGCAGGCTCTATCCATATTTCTCAAGCCCCATAAATCGACAAGCTTATTCAGATCAGACTAAAAAAATTAAAATGAGTTCCAAAAATCGTAGTCTAACCCTATCAAATTATGGGTTAGGGTAGGCTAACTCAACGGGCCTAGCCATATTGACGCATTTAGTTGATGGGGGAAGCAACGCACTTTACAAATATGTTCACTTTTCAATTCTCTTGATTTGTTATTTTTAACGGAAAAGGGTCAAAAATACCCTTAAACTATCTGAAATAGCTCATATTACCCTTAAACTATATTTCGGTTCAAAACTACCTTTTCCGTCAAACTATTAGATCAAAAGTGTCTTTCTTATTAAAGAAAGTTGTTAAATGTAATGTGAATGCCACATTGCATGCCAATATAGTTCCACTGTCATATTGACTAAAAGAAAAAGGATAAAAAATACCCTTAAACTTTCAAAATAGCTCATATTTATCCTTAAACTATATTTCGATTCAAAACTGTCCTTTCCATCAAACTATTGGGTCAAACATGCCCTTTTCATTAACGAAAGTTGTTAAATGTTATGTGGATGTCACATTGCACGTCAATAGATTTTTACTGCCATAGAAACTAAATCCTCAAATCTTAATTACTCTTTTTCCTTCTCATTTCATTATTTTTCATTAACGATTTCACCCCTTCTCTCTCATTTTGCAGTTACGGTTTCACAGTTTTTTTGTCGCTGGGTCTCAAAATGGATATTCATGATTGTAGGTTAGTAGATTTTTTTTCTTATTTTATTATGTTTACAACCACGAATATCCACTTTGAAACTTATCCCCAAAGAAAGTTATGAAACCCTAGCAGTGAAATGAGGGGAAAGTTATGAAATCCTAACTATGATGTTTTGAAATTGTAAACATAATAAAATAAGAAAAGAAAGTACTAACCTACAACCACGAATATCCATTTTGAAACCCAGCTCCGAAGAAAACTATGAAATCCAAGCAAGGAAATGAGCGAAAAGTTGTGAAATCCTAACTATCATGCTTTGAAATCGTAAACATTATAAAATAAGAAAAAAGATTTACTAATCTATAATCACGAATATCCACTTTGAAACACACCTATGAAAAAAACCATGAAATTTTAGCCGCGAAATGAGGAAGAATGAATGAAATCGTTTCTGGAAAATAATACAATAAGGGGAAAAAAGTAATTAGGATTTAGTCGATGTGGCAGTGGAACCCTATTGACATACAATGTGGCATCCACATGACATTTAACAACTTTCATTAATAAGAAGAATAATTTTGACTCAATAGTTTGACGAAAAGGATAGCTTTGAGCCGAAATATAGTTTAAGGATATGTATAAGCTATTTCATATAATTTAAGGGTATTTTTAATCCTTTTTCGTTTAGTCTATGTAGCAGTGGAACCCTATTGGCATGCATTGTGGCATCCATATGGCATTCACATGGCATTTAACAACGTCCGTTAATAAGAAGGGCACATTTTTTAAAAAACCAACAATGTACCATTGAACCTACTAAATTGAGCCCGCCCTCAAATTTCCACTCACTTAACAAGTGGAGTCAAAACAAAGTTTGCAATCATTCAAGATAAAACTAAAAGGCAAAAACGTTGATAATAACTTTTTCAAGTTTAGACATAATGTTAGGATTGACCGCAAGACTCAAATCTCAAGACTCTTGTAGACCTGAGTTGATTTTCCAATAGCCTATGACGTTTCATGTCTAGTTCGTGACGCCTCCACTGCAGACGTCTATCTTTTTCTACTTGCCCAGTTGATCCTAATACCCCACCTATGACACATAATACCCCTGCCGCAGACATTTCACCTCTGTCTTGTGGTCCAGTTTCTGTTACTCTCGAATCTCTATTTAAAGGTGGTTGAGGTGGAAATGAATCTTGTTATATAGTAAGCACGAGTAAGAATCGTCCATTATTTCTAACCTTATTCGTTGGTATGTATCACACTTATATTTTTATTTGCTCGAGTGTGTTTAGTTACACCCGACTAATACAAGAAAAAAAAAATTGGCTCTTCATGAGAAAAAATCAAACCTGGGGTAGGAAGCGCATGCAGTTGGGCGAAAAAAAATTCACATTAAGTGATCTATCCCTCCAATTGATGGAATGAATAAAATAATGTTGAGGACTTCCATTTCTAAGGGGTCGCATTTCAGAGTTAATGAGTTGTATCCTACAACTATTAATCATGTATTGTTATTGTTTGTTACCTTTATATTAAACCAAAATATTGGAGCATTTAAAACAAAATCAAATGTTTGACCATCAAATTTCTCTAATCATCATGTACTGTCTCACTAAGTACGTTAAGGTTCATAATAAGAACTTGTGCTAGTGGAACAACATTTTGAGCTACAATTGAAGCTGGTTGTTGTTATTGTTCAACATTTGGAGGCACAACATTTGAAACTGAATTAGTAATTTCTTCTAACGAAGCAAAGAGTTATTTGTCATGGAGAAGCAATGCACTTAGCAGACATGTTCACTTTTCAAATTCTTTTGATTTGTTGTTTTTCTTTAAATCAATAATAATAGAGAAAAAACAAAAAACAAAAGGAAAAATAAAATATTGCTAAGATTATTCTCATCTATTTGTTTTCTTTTTTTTGAATTTGCCGCAATTTAATTATCTTTTATATTTTTGATTTCTATTCTTTCTATTTTACGTTTAATTCTAAGTATGTGAGTAATTTACTATTTTTATCCTTTTTTCTACTTATTTCAGTTGTCAATATGAGCCGACCAAATCATTAGGCCCGATCCGTATAACCTTTGAAATTTGACGAGTCAGATCGGACTAGCTTATTTCTGTGTGAGTTAATGGGTTGGCCCAACCCACATACTTGTGGTTGCAGGCTTGCCGAATCAATTCTCTTTTCTTAAAAGTATATTTTTT